CCTCATAAGCACAATTAAAGTTCCAGATACCCATTTTCTCAATTTTGCCCATAATTGTTGTGATCCACACAGTTGAATGCCTTTGTATAATTAATAAGGCACAAGTAAACATCTTCCTCTTATTCTTTGCATTCAGCAAGATCCATTTGACATCAACAATGTAGTCCTATTCTGAATTGGAATTGAATTTTGACAGCTCCCTGTTGATGCAATAATTTTTCTATTATCATCAGCAGATTTTTTTCCCTGCATGATATTAGTGATACTGTTCAATTATTTCCAAATTCCCATGGGTCACCTTTCTTTGGAATTGGCACAGATATGGATCTCTTGGTTAACAATTGGTTAACAAGGTACCTGTCTTCCAAATTACTTAACAAAGATGAGTGAGCATCTCCAGTGTTGCATCAGTTTGTTGAGAGATTTTCATTTGTATTCTGTCAGTTCCTGGAGCCTTGTTTCTTGCTAATGCCTTCAGTGCAGCTTCTTCCTTTAGTACCATTAGTTCTTGATCATCTGCTCTTGAAATGGTTGAATATTGACCAATTCCTTTTTTCAGTGATTTTGTGTATTCCTTCCATCTTCTCTTGATGCTTTCTGCACCATTCAATATTTTGCCCAAGGCTTGAATATATTCTTCAATTCTTTTAGCTTGAGAAATTGAGTGTTTTCTTCCCTTTTGGTTTTTAACTCCATGTCTTTGCATATTTCATGTTTTAAAAATTGAGTGAAGTTTTCCAGACAAGATCATCAGCACATTAAGTTTTAAATATTTGGCTTTGTCTTCTGATTCTACCCTTTGAAAATTACTATTTAGCTCTTTTGCTTACTATTATTTTCCAGTCTCTTTAGCTTCTCTGTGCTCAAGTGCAAATTTTAGTCTCTTCTGACACCCATTTTGTTTTCTATGTCTTTCATCATCATTAACTTTAGTGGTTGGTGTGTAAATTAGAATAATAGAAGTACCAAATGGTCTACTTTGCTGGTGTATTGATATTATCCTAACACAGATAGCAGTGTAATTCAAAATAAATCTTAAAATTCTCTTTTTGGTGATTAATAGCATACCATTCCTCTTCAATTTGTCATTCATGGCATAGTAATCCATATGATTGTCGGATTCA